AAAATCATGGAGAAAATTATATGTGGTAGTATTACGTCGTTTTTAAATAAATTTTAAATTTTGTCTCCTTGCCAGTTCGGTTTTAGAAAGGAGAGTTCAACCGAACTTGCTATTTTGGACTTAAAGCTTTCTGTTTGTAGTAACATCGATTTAAAACGAAACACCATTGGTACGTTTATTGATATAAAAAAAAAACATTTGACGCTGTCGATCATGTGTTGGTGTTATCATGCCGCATTATGGAATTAGAGGACCTTTGTTAAAATGGTGTCAAAGTTACCTTGCAAATCGATCTCAATATGTTGTTATAGGTAAACATCATTCTTCCTTGTTGCCTATTGTCTCTGGAGGGCCTCGAGGTTCTGTACTTGACTCTGTTTTTTTTCCAATATATTTATTAATGATTTATGCAGATCGACTAAGGCTGTTAAATATATTATGTATGCGGATAACACTACCATTTTGGCATCTGGCGATTCCATAGGTGAAGTTGAATGTATTCTTAACTCAGAGCTTTCAAGAGTTCACTTGTTGATGATGAATAATAAACTGGAAATTAGTTTATCAAAAACTTATGCGATTCTTTTTGGTCCTAATATTGTCACCAATTTACTAACATTTTCTATTTTCTACAATAACAATTTGGTAGATCGATTGGACAAGTTAGTCTTTCTAGGTGTTACAATCTTTGCAATGTAAGTTGGAAAGAGCGCACAATTAGCAAATCAAACAAAGTATCTAAAAATCTAGGAATAATCTATAGACTAAAATATTTTTTACCGAAATGTGTATTACTTAATTTATATTATTCTTTTATTTATCCTTATTTCACTTATTGTATTGTAGTTTGGGGTAGTTACATTAAGTCTCATATTATTATCTTAGATAGATGTTTATATTCTTTATTCGTATTTATTATGACCTTAAAAATATGATCATATTTCAGATTATTTATCGTTGTCTAATTTGTTGTCTATTCCTAAACTGTACATTCTCAGATTATTATTATTCTTATTTAATGTTATAGTAAAGAAGAAATTTGTTATGTTTAATTCGTATTTAATTAAATCTTCTGAATATTGCAAAAGAACAACTCGGCATACTCCATTATGCAATTGTATTGTCCCTCGTACTGTTTTATTTTCATCTTCAGTTTTTGTTTTTGGTTAAAAACTGTGGTCAAAACTACCGTGTTTAGTTTTACAAGTACCTAACTATGGGCTATGTAAAAAATCGATTTTTGATATAATTAAAAACAACTTTTTTTTACAGGATATGATTTAATTATTTCAATTATTTAAGTTATTTTATAAATAAAAATTTCTAATATGAATTCAATTGTTTTGTTTAACTTGATAAATTTTGATGAGCATTTTTGTTCTAAGTAATTTCTACCCATTTTTGGTTTAATTTAACTTGTTTTCATTGGCTAGCTATACGATTTTATTTTCATTTATGTTATTTTCACGTAGGGATATGTTTTTATTGGGTTTGGGTGGCCGTACAAGCTCGTTTTTGCTGAATAAAATTGAGTTGAATTTATATATATATATTTATTTATATATATATACATACGTACATATTTACGTATATATATATATTTATTTTGTTATATATATAAATATGTATATATATATATATATAAATATATATGTATTGGGTTGAGACTATCTGATTTGCAGTTGTTTAAAATATCACAGCATTGCAGGCATTTTTAATTTGAATTTGAGCTTTTCAATTTTTCGTACGGCGAATTTCAGTTTATTATTGAGTTTATTCAATTTATAAACAAATTTTTTTTTCATATTTTACATTTTCGTTTTCACAATTAAATAAAAACTCAGTTTCAAATTCATTGACTGCAATATTGTGATATTTTCAAACATCTGCATGTGTATATGTATATATATGTGTGTGTGTTTGTGTGTGTGTGTAAAATTATACATTTATATATATATATATATGTATAATATATATATATATATATATATATAGATATATATAGTGCCGCTTAAAATGACAGGAAAGATCGTTTTTTCAATTTCTTTGAAATCCGTTGATCCAAATTATAACAAATCTTTATGGTAATTTTAATCATTTAAATGCAAAAATTTACAGATTTAAATGCAAAATCCTTAAAGTTTATTTATTCAGGTTAATGCTAAATTAATAAGCAAATCTAACTTACGATGCACATTAGAAGGACTATTGTTGTTTTGTTCACTTTTTAGGCTGATTTGAAATCCATTAAAATTGTTCTTTAGAATGGGTAGAGGAAAACAAATGAACATGGAATAAGGGATTCTAATTTTGACATTAAAATCTAAAAACTATAGTCTGAAAAAAGTTTTAAAATCGTTGAATGTTTTTAAAACAATCGTTTTAATATTTGAAAAATCTATTGTATTATGGAAGGAAAGAAAGTAATGGACGACCGCAAAAGCTGTCAAAATAATAAACAAAGAAACTTTTAATTCTGAGGGCCTGTGAGGGTACACTCAGTTCTACTAAATTAAAAAATGACCTACAGTCGAATTGCGGTATTACTACTGTAAAAGATGCCTAAAATTAAGTGCAATTGTTTAAAATTTGAAAAAAATTAGATCATTGCCACTCACTTTGGCATAAAAACCAATAATTATAGTGGGCAAAAGATCATTTTACTTAGGGTGGAAAATGGAATCTTGTCATTTTTTCTGATGAAAAAAATGAATCTCGATGGTACAGATGGTAATCAATTCTATTGGCACGATGATAGAAATGAAAAAAGAAGATTATTTGGAAGGCAACTAGGAGGTGGGTCGGTCATGGTTTATGGTGCTTTTTGAGCAACTGTCAACCTTTCAAGGACATTAAAACGTTCATGTATATATTTTTCACTTTTTTTAATTTGGCAAAAGAGTTTTTTAAAAAAATAAAAAACGCTGATCGTACCTATCATTTTGAACCGCACTGTATATGATATGTAATATGTGTGATATACATTTCTATGATTGATTTAAATTAATTGATCAATAAATAGACTGCTGAAGTATTTTCAGTCAAACACCTTATATCATATCATATTATATAAACTGTTTTAAATTCTTAACAATTAACTTGAAGTTTAATTTGTTTTTAAAAGCTGTGTTATTGAAATTTATTTTCTGCTTGAAACTAAATTCTCCCGTGCCGATTCAGTGCGCATTTAAGGATGCAGCATGGAAATTTGTTCTGAATGCCAAATTATGAATATATTAAATTATGAATATATTAAATTATGAATATATTAAATTATGAATATATTAAATTATGAATATATTAAATTATGAATATATTAAATTATGAATATATTAAATTATGAATATATTAAATTATGAATATATTAAATTATGAATATATTAAATTATGAATATATTAAATTATGAATATATTAAATTATGAATATATTAAATTATGAATATATTAAATTATGAATATATTAAATGCGTGATCTAAATGAAAAAGTATGAAAATAAATAAATATATCATTTAAATTAATCGTTTAAATGAACATGCAATCGGACAAACAAGTGAGCTCTCAATCACACGACAAATAGAGAAAAACACACAATCAAGTCACAAATACAAACGAACATACAATCAAGCCACAAATACAAATGAACATACAATCAAGTCCCAAATACAAACGAACATCAATCAAGTCACAAATACAGAAAAACACACAATCGAGTCACAATTTCAAATGAACATACGATTATGAATCGAGTAAACAATCTGTCATCTCATAACTAAACAAACAAATTGGTAATATGAAAAATTCTTTGAACGAATTTTTCGAAGCGTGATAAAATTTTAATTAAGCAAAACAAAATTTAACCGTATTGTTTAAAATCCATTTCTTGGTTTTTTCTATTTTTACCACGAGTGATAAAATAAATTTATGGATAAACATTTTCATGTATTTTAATGTTTCCACTTTTTATATGAAAATTTTGCACTGTTTTTGTGCACCAAAATTTGATTTGTTAAGTTTTTTGAAGTTTGATTGCATTATGTCATCGTTTTTTTCTTATTTTTCGTTGTGTCACTTCTTGTGAGGTTTTCAAACGAGTGTGGAATAAAAAATAATTACATTGTTATGTTGATAAACTAATAGCAAACAATAAAATAACTTCAATAAGCTATATTTTTCAGTTTTTAATATAAAATATTCATTTCTAAAAAATTTTAGTAAACTTCATAAACTTGAAGTACAATGACAAAAAATTGTGAAAGGCCGTTTATCAAAAATACAATTTTTTAGTCGATAAAAATTTAATTAACCGACAAAAAATTGTGAAAGGCCGTTTACCAAAAATACAAATTTTTTAGTTGATAAAAATTCATTCAAATAACCATCTATTTATTTGGAATGAACATTCGGCCTCAAGGTCAAAACTGAATGTGATAATAATTAGCTTTGGAAAATTCCTTAAATTTTAGTTATTGTTAGTGATGTTATTAAAGGCAGTTTTACTCCTTTAGATTTGTTCTCGAGACACGTAGAAAATGTTTAGCAAATATTGTAGTTAGAACCAAATTGCCCGTCACTTAAAAATAATTCTAATTTGTCGCTCACGTATAAGCATGAAAAATGTACTACAGAACTGTTTCCAATCTCTTTTTTAATTCTTAGGTATTCGAACGGTATTCTGTTGTTGCCGGTAACTTACTCAAACTACAGATTGGGTTCATTTTCAGAAAAAGCCTTGCTCGAGGTATATGGTGATATTTATCAATTAAGGGGATTAGTTGAAGTTGAAATATTAAGATTAGTTGCCTATGACTTGATGGCAGTTTCTAAAGCTAGGACAACACAGAGTGGTAAGTTCATGCAGGGCCAATAATTCGTCTCAAGAAATAGATATTAGTTAAACTACAAACAAAGTAATTAATCGAAAATCAACCCTCTGAGGAATACCAAAAAGCAATTAATAATTATGTCTACATTCAAATAGGGTTGATTTTCAAATTTTTCAAATGAAATGTTTATAAAATCTTCTAAATTGGGAAATTGTTAATTAAAACTCCGCATGAATGTTTGAACTGAATTTTTTTTAGTCTTCATTATTGCAACATTGACATACGCAGAACCACTTATAATGTTACATATATATTATCTATAATCTTTTTTCTTTTATATTATGTTCTTCATATCTTCATCCATTGATTTGAAGCAACCATCTTTGCTAAAAAGGCTGTTTATTCATTTCACACGACGTGTATTTATGTGCCCGCGCAAGCACTGCATCTTATACGCTGAGTATATGATAGCCATCGAGATTTTTAACTCAGCACGCATTTGAACCACTGAGCCATCTCGCCGGTCAACATGCGACAACATACGCCGTCTCCCCATTTACCGACTTCGGAAGGATGGATGGCTGGGTTGGCCGGGGGCCGGCTACCTGGAAGGACTTGCAGAAACTGCAGGATTCGAACCCTATATGTAGACGGACAGGCTAACCACTCGGCCACGAGACCCACAAATTGCGTGTCTTCATACAGACAACCACGTGATTTATGAATATTAATGAGCCATCTGAGTTACAATTCATTCATGTGCTTAAATAAGATTTAGCAAAACTAATAGTTGAATCGTAACATGTATTTTGTTTGCAAGCTAATTGAATTGAATAAAATTGACAATTTTGTATGACATCAAAAATGTTTTAAACATATTTTACTAACGGTTGTTGAAAAGATAGCCAACGGTTATCATCGGCTTGCGACCATCACTACCGGCAAGAATTTCCCTCATAAAAAAAACTTTCATGTTAGCAATGTGACTAAATATTTTCTTTAGCGACATCATTGAATACCTCAAAACGATTTGTGTTCAAGTCATTTTGTGCAATCCAGTTTCAAGAAAGAAGGACGATAATGTCGAAAATACGACTTCCAGCCATCCACGTCATTCAAACTGTGCATTGATGCAAAATATTTAGACGTTGCTACCAGTAATAGTACCTAGATGACTCGAACAAGTCACAATAATGGAATGGACATTCAACAAAAGTAGCAATCAACTCAAGTGATGTGATACCTAATACTTGTAAAGAAAGAAAAAAGCATTTTGAACACGGTATTCAATCAACAAATCAATCCCTTAAATTTGTACAACCCAGGTTTTAAAAGTTCAACTAGGCTCAACATAAAACTCGCAAAACAAATAATTTCAATGAAGTACAAAAAATAAAATAAAATAAAATAATGCTAAAAAGAAATAAAGAAAGAAACTAAACCATGTATTAAAGCATTTCAAGACACATAATAATGACCGTTTTTAAAATTATATCAATCATTTTATATTATTCTTTTAATAACATTTATTTGATATTATTCATCCGATTTCATTTATTTGATAGTGTTCATTCAATATCCTTCATTAGATTTTATTAATTTTATTTATTAACTATGTAACGAATTTGATAAAAATCTTTTATTGGATAATTCATCATAATATACCGCTCATTTAAAAATTCACCATCCACTTGATATCATTCATTAGAAATCCTTTATTGACTATCCGGATTCTTTAGAATTTCTTTGTTAGATATCATTCATTTAATAATAATTGTTAGAACTCTCATTATATATTGGTTTTTGTCCCTTGAGAATTCTTCAATGAGTAAGTACCATTCAATCGGTATCAATTGTTGGATAATCTTTATTTGCATCTTTTTTTAGACATCATTTGTTAGAAATCTTTCATGGAATATCATTTATTTGATATAAATCATTTGATATCATTTGCAAAAAATCTTCCATTTGATATCATTTGTCCAAAATTTCTCATCGGATATCGTTCATTTGATATCAATCGTTCGACATTATTTGCTAAAAATCTTTCATTGGATATCAATCATTTGATATCAATAATTTGCATTTTTTGTTAGATATCAATCATTAGAAATCCCGCATGGGGTATCTTGTTTTTAAATTGGTAAAAATGGTAGTTCAAAAACCTGACTTTTATTTTATAAACCACATCATAAAGCAAACAATCATTTTCTTAATTTAGAAATATTTTTTGAACGCTAAAACATAAAGAAAAAAATCATTTTCTTCAAACAATCATTTTCTTAATTTAGAATAATTTTTTGAAGCTAAAACATAAAGAAAAACTTTATTATATACGTTTTTATTAGTTTCCTATTTTCCCAATTTAGACAAGACCAAAGTATTAAAACATAAACAAATAAACTGCAAAAATTATGACAACATCTATAACAAAATTTTTACGGAGCATTTTTACTATTCAAAGTTTATGAGTAAAAACAGATATTTTTAAAGTTTTCTTAAAGAGGATTATGTCTAAATTGTTCAAGCAAGTTAATCAATTTTTATACACTTTATTTTTTTTACAAAAATATTATACATAAATTAAAGTGGTCGTTCTTTAGACGTACAAACATGACTACCAACGTTAACCTTGAACAGGCACCCTATCTACTTCCTCCACTTCATGAGAATTTGTATATAATAAGTTCATTTCACGATGAAAACAATTGGTAAATTTTCAAAGTTTTTTGAGAACTTATTCTTAAAGTTTTAAAATTTATTTTGTCCAAATAATAACGATAAATTTATCGGCTTTCGTTCTTGTGGACAACGTCAGGAAAAGATTGAAAATGAAGAATATTTTCTTGTTGGTCTTGCTGGCAACTGCCGTAGGTTTGTATGTTAAGATATTCAATTCATGTTTTGTATTATGCTAAAATAGTTTTTTGACATACATCTATATCAAAATTAAATTCGATTTTGCATTTAAAAATGTTTAATTTTTGGCATATTCGGGAGATGGCATAGCATAGAAAATAATAATAGCTAACCTAAAATCTCACGTTAATGTATGTACATATATCCTCAAGTTCCCAAAGTGTCACACAGACATAGGCACAAAGGTGCACACATACACCCAAAGGCACACACATACATACAAGCACCCACACACACCAGGCACACACATGCACTCACATACACATACAGGCACACATGCACACAAAGGCACATACCTTACACACAAGTACGCGAATACCTACATAGGCACACACATACACATATAGACACACACACACAGACACACGCACATGCACATATGGACACACATAAAAACATAGGTACACACATACATAGGTGCAGTCATTCTCAAGCATTCGCTTGTTTACGAACTTAACACAAAAATAAACGAAAAACAAGTCGTATGTTCATATCTTTTATTGTTGAAATGGTAGATGGAATAGATGGTTAAAGGTCAGCTATTTTGACTTTGTGAGTGAGTAGTAATGCGAGAAGATACAAATTTCAATAAAATTAACATTCATGCTATGTATATAACAAACAAATAATAATTATTTTATTATTCTTGACGATGGTGTTGATAATGATGATAATAATGATACATACATGAATATAAAGATTGCAGATATAATAATAATTCTAAACATTTTTATTAGTAGTAGTAGTATAATTATTATCATTATAATTATTATTATTATATTAATAATAGTAAACGTTTGTTAACAAACACCATTTCAATCATTATTTTATATGTTGTTATCATTGTTGTTGTTGTTATTATTATTATTATTATTATAAAATATTATGATAGTATCAGTAATAACAATCACATTTGGGGTTTTCAGTGGCATTGTGCAACGAATGTGGTCGTAGGTGCCCAAAAATAATGAAGTTTTTGTAAGGAAAAATGGATGAATTTTGCAGTTAATTGAGTTAATAACTAGTTTTTTCTTCAAATTCAAATTATATTTTATTAATTGCTTCATCCGTAAATATATTAATAATTGTAATTGATAATATAATGGTGTTAACGGCAAATCATATAAGTATGCTGAACTGATGGCATGTGTGCGAATGTATGTGTATGTAACGTACATATATCGGTAATATCCTATCCTATATGTATGTTTAGGTTATCTTATCTTATACATACATGAATAAAAATAAAACATAAATAAATGAAATAATATCTTTATATAGAAGATAGTAAATACTTTTTTTTTATAGTTATTACAATTCATATTTCAATAAAAGAAATTACGATATATTTGAATTGAATTGAATTGCTCACAATGACAGTGATTATGAAGATAAAAATGTATATGTACATGTAAATATTAATAATGATTAGGATAACAAAACAACGATGATAATGATGATAACAATGATAATGATTACTAAAATGACAATAAAGAAGTAACAATAATAATGGTTACAACGATAACGGTGAATATGATGATAATGATGAATATGATGATGGTGATAAATAAGATGATAACGATGAATATAATTATAAGGATGATATGATGATGACGATGAACATGATGGTAAAGATAAGCGACTTTTTATTTGCCTCTGAAAATTTAAACGCATTAATGTAGGGAGGCAAGATGATGACTGCGGTGATGACACCGCACAGGAATGTTTCAAAGTTGTACAAACAAAAATAACCATTCACTTTTCTGATATAGTCCACTGTATACCTGTTAGATTTGGTAACGATGAATATGATGACAACAATATCACGACAGTTGTAACGACATCCTAACAACAATGACAACGGCAAAAGTTTAAATAAAATAGTTGAAATTGCGAAGTTCCAGTTTTTTCCAGAGGCGTAGCCAGGGTATTTTGCGCTCGAGAACAAACTATAAAATTGGCGCCCCTCCTCCTCTACATGTTCAACCACATTATTTTATAACATTAACATCGTAAAAATTGCTGTTTACAAAAACAATTTAAATTTTAATGAAACATTGTATTTAAAAATAAAACATGAATATAAAAATTATAACATATGATTCAGTCATTTTCAAAGATAATTTACATAGTTTACAATAGATTTATTTTTTTAGATTTTACTGTCGCAAGCTGATCAATTATGTTATTCAAATATGTCATTTCCAATGTTTCTCTTTCAACACTGAGAAGGGCAAGATCAATGAGACGATCTTGTCCCATTGATGCACGCAGATACGATAAAATAATACTTTATAAAATACAATGCTTTACTTTAAAAGAGTTTCTACGTCCTTGTTTACTTTTAAACCAAATTCAAAACAGTACATTTTACATGGAAACGGTGTGTACCGGTGGCGCTTGTGCTCTTTATTTCAACTGTAGCGTTGTTGTGTGTTAAAAAATGGGAAGTCAAAATTTACCACAACATTCATTATTAATACTTCATATTTTTGATTTGATCGTTTATTTTGACATGTAAAGTTTTTTTTAGTAAATAATTAATTTTTTTCATTTTTTTGCTTGTGATAAGATTTTTACTCTTGTAAAAATTTTGTCAGCCTCATTTTGGCGCTCCCTGTACTTGGCGCCAGGAGACATATGTACCCCCCGCCCCTCCCTAGCTACGCCTCTGGTTTAGTCTTCAGCTTTTATGCTTTTATTTTTGTTGTTGCTTCTAAAAGCATTTATAACACAACTACTTCTACCTTCACGACGGCTAGTGATAATTATCACAATTTTTTATTGTTAACCAGTCTCATACAATTATTATCTTCCTCGCCATAAGCAATTAGCTTCAGCCACTGTATCACAGTGTTAACGTGCATCCCGTAAAGAGGCTTGTGAATTTTTACTTCAAATCTTAAACCATTTGAAGTAATTGCATTGCTTGCACATAATAATAAAAAAAATTTAACGAAAAAGGGATTTTTTTAACTCGAACTGATATTAAAAGTTGAAATACAAATTTTGAATGTTGAATCCAATTATGTTCTGAATGGCCACATTGAAAAAGTAACTTTTCATTAGTGGATAACGCAATGTAGAATAAATAAAATTTGTGAAGTTGTTAAACACTATGTTTAATAAATTAATAGTTATACTAGAAACTACGTCATTACAAATTTTATATAGTTCTAATTAACAACAACAACAAAATAAAAAGAACCATAGTTGCAAATAAAATGAACAGTTGAATTTTAAACCTTGACTCCAGCACATGTAATAAATTAATTTATTAAAGCGAGTATATGTTTTGAGCTGTCATTTGAAATGCACAAAATTCAAAATTTCAACGTTTATAGTACATTAAACTCAAAAAGATTGAACACAATGATCCAATCGAGATATAAATTTTTGGTAAACCTGGTCCCTGCATATATTTTTGCATTACATGACTTAGCAGTTTAAGTCAAATCACTTCAAATGAATGCTCGCACGCACTCACAAAAGAACTAAATAAATGCACAAACCCGCACAAACGTGAACACAAGTACACACACATGCAATCACATATGCACACAAATACGTGTGAGTACACTCTTATACAGAAGCATTTACACAAACACAAACATACACATGGGCATCAACATGCACAAACAATCATAGCACACAAGCATACACACGCGTACACAAACACAAACATTGTTTTTAAGTCGAAGTTTCCATGTGTGTTACGCGTCACACTCGCTAACAGACTCTTAATTGAACGCATAACTCATTATAATATAAGGAGGTGCTGTGTACGTTTATACGTTGACACCGCACCACCCAAGTACATGAATAACATGATAAAAATACATACATAAATGTATATATATATATATATATATATATATATATATATATATATATACAGCAACCCTGTAGAAGAATGAGAATGAAAGAGAGAATGTCATTGGACATCAGCCTCGTGGCAATACTGCGTGTGTGTGAATATATATATATATATATATATATATATATACATATATATATATACATACATATATATATATACATACATATATATATTGATGAAAATCACAGCATGTTCGCTCACAGCATGTTCGCCGTTAGTTAACTTCCTGTTTAACTTTCCGATTTTCCTAAATCATTCTCAAGTTTCTTGAATTCAAAATCAAAATTTTTGTTTAATTATGCATAATAGAATAAAAACGCTTTTTTTTGGTATTCCTATACCATCTTCGGTTTTTGAATTGATACGTTGTGTATGTGGTCAGATGTTTATATATATGTATATACTGTGTCTCTACACTACTTTGATGATTTCTTGTTTGTTCAAAGTAATTACTAAATGCTCATTTAATTAGCTTTACAATTTTCAACTTCGTCCAACTTTTACTTGTTTTCATTATTGATGATTCCTCTTTTTATAAATTTATTAGTAGGAAGAATTCCAATTGTCCGTTGTTGAATACTTAGTATTTGTTATATGAGTATTGATTCGGCTAGTCGTAAATTATTATTGTTGTTATTTTAATGTAAGATTTTAACATTGTGGTCCAAGATTTGTCTACTAATTTTAGTTTTATGTTTCTCTTTCATGGGATTCTTTATAGCGCCAGTTTGTACGTCTTCTTGATAACTTGGTCGTCGTCATACCAATATATTTGGAATTATGGTGCCCACACTCAACAATATTACATTTTAACAAATATATTGGATGGCTATGATCCATTATCCAATATATTATGCTCCATTATTCAATATATTAGCCATCAAATACTGGCTGGCAATTTTTAAAGCAATTCCTCGGTACACCGATGCGAGTTTTTCTTGCGTGTCATCGGTTTTCAGTGTATCAGCCTAGAGAGGAATTCCGTAAGTCAATACCTAAGTAACAACAAACAACAGCAACATCCTCTTGTTCTGTTTTGAATCTACCACTTTAGACATTATTTGGGATAAGGCTATCTTTACTCTTGTTTCTTTGTTACTAACGTGTTCCAATTGCTGTTTGATGTTTAGTCGAGTATCAATCATCATCTCTAGGTACCGAATAAATAGTTGGGATACTATTTGGTGTTCTTCAAGTGACAGCTTAATGGTTTCAGCTTATTTTCTTCCTCTAATAAGCACATGGGCTTGCCAGTTCTAGGTTGACTGCTTTCATTTCTTTACTAATTTTTGCGAAAGAGGTGTTAAAAGCAAGTTTTCTTTCCTCAAGGTATTTCGCAACGACTACCACAGCCATATTATCTGCATAAGCCACGAGGCTGATGTCCAATGGCAATTTTAGCTCCAGCAAGCCGTTGTACATTGCGTTCTATTGAAGAGGACTTAAAATTGAGCCCTGAGGTCGTTTATTCTTTTGGACCTGCATTTGTGTCACACTTCAATATTCTTTGTAAAAAAAAAATAGCTTGCTACTATTTCCTGTAAATATATTAATACATCCAGCCGATCAAGGGCATTCCAAAATGCAATCCCAGTTATCGGAGTTAAAAGCATTTTAAAATTCCAAAGTGGCCACCAAAAAATATTTTTTTCATCTTTTCCACCTTGTCCTTGCACTGGCGTTTTTGGCTTTTTGAACAACAAGGCTCACAGCATTCAGCAAAGATCGACCATTCCGGAAACCAAACGGCTTGCCAATCAGTTGCGAATTAACTCTTTCTTCAATCTTTTGAAATATAATTCTTTCCAATATCTTTTCAGCCGTATCCAGCATACAAAGCTGGTGTTTTTTCCTTTAGTGTTAGCGTGGCGCTTCCAGCTTAATCGTACTAAGCTTTGACATCCAAGTAATCCGGACTTGTGATCCGAAAACAGCCTCGGTTTTTCCATTAGCCCGCTGGTATCCCTTCGTCTTTTTTTCGCTTTGCTTCACATGGCCAAACCATCGTAGGCGATGACGACGACATGCATCTTTCAACGTGCACAATCCCGATCGGTTCAGGATTTCGGTTGGTCCCTTAGATCAACATGCTGCATCTAACGAATCATCTTCATGTCAGTTCGGTGAAGCTGCTGTTTGAGTTTTGTTATCATTGGCCACGTCTCTACACCATACATCAGAACAGAACGTATAGCTGTGTTTTATAGCTCTGAGCGAAGCGGTAGAGGAATGCTACGTCGCATCAATACCGAGGCAAGGAGGTGCCATCTGCCCCACACCGCACGTATGAGTCCACGAACGGCGGCATCAGCTGTTTCAGTACAATCCAGTATATCTCCCAAATACTGAAATGAAGTAACAGTTTCGATTCCGGTAATCGTATCATCATGTCGCGTTGATGCAGGCGGGGCTTACGAAATCAGTCACTTTCTTCAGTGAGCCGGTAATTCTCGAGCATCGTCTGTGACACCACTGCTGACATCGTTGGTATTTGATCGAGTTGCTTCCAACTCCAGCCCCACACACCGAACATAGCCAATGTATGTATCTATGTATGTCTGTCTGTATGTATGTATGTATGTACGTACGTATATATATATATATATATATATATATATATATATATAGGTTTATGTTCTTTTTATAAATCAAAATATAAACGTAGAATGGTATTAGATGTTGTCGAAAGTGGTTTAAGTTATTTAAATAGCGGCTTAAATGAAAGTAGCAATCATAATGATTAATTTAATAAGTCTTTTAGAGAAAAAAATCAAATTATAGAATCTTGCAAAAATGAGCCAGGAAATAGGACGGTGTACATCAAATTTTCAGTGAGTCTAACTAAATATCTGCATATCGGCGACGAAAATAACAAAATTATTTATTTACCTATTTATTGTTATCAGTTTGTAACTTAAATATTCTATCAATATCTTAATATTTTTTATTAACAGTTTTATAATTCATTAACATTCATTTATTTTTACAGCGGCATACGAATATAGGAACGATGGTAAGTCCCGATTACTGAAATTTTTTTCAACATAATCGCGGTCATCATAATTAACTTTGCATTTTGTTTTGTCATCACATGATCGCCCTCTTTATTTTCTTTAAGGACAACGTACATTATTCATAATCTCTATCAACTTAAAAATCATCTATCATAATCACATCCAACTTAATCACCGTTCACAAAAAAAGCATTCAGTTTGATCACTATTTAACAAAATCACTCCTCACATAATTATCATCCATATTAATCACAATCCAACATAATCACCATCATTCATCTTGAAATAGCCTTCACCAGCAATCGTGAGTACGTTTACCATTATGAGACTCAGGTAATGAGCGCTATCAAAACTGCCAGCAGACAACTGACTGGCTTAAAGATCAGATCTCAGGTCCATCTCTTTTTCCAAAACCAAATGGCCTACATTAAGGTTTGATTTTATATGCTTGTCTGGTGATGCTCATTTATTTGACTAACCAAACAGATTTTAAGAGCAAGTGTAAAAACGAAATTTTAAGCGTAAATTGTTCAGGCGTCAATCTTTTTTCTATATAATTTCACTTCATTAATTTATGTATTTATTCATTTTTTTGTGCCAATCAATTTATTAAACTTTTAATTGTTTATTTTATTCTTTCATTCATTTTTATACATATTTTTTAAAAATTATACATATTGTATATATGTGTAAGTGTCGGCGGGCTAGCTCAGTAGAATTGCCATGTCTCGTGTAGTTACTCAATGGCCTGGTTCGAATACTGTCTGTTCGAACCTCAAAGACTATCATAACTAAGCGACGTGTTAATGCATAATGCGTATGTACATTGTTCGGCGTGGATAGTACAGCTTTTTATATATATTTTATTATATAACTATAAATATATATATATATATATATAATATGTCTATACAAAAATTAATTTTTACGTCATTTTTTTCAGTTGCAAAATATCAAAGTGTTTGAACTTGATGAAGTGATCCCCGCATCGCAGCAGCATGGTTTTCTACCGGAATATTTGCTAAGACCAGTGCCCTACGAAGTTGAAAAAAGTATAATGGCAGAACTCACAAAACCCATCAAGTTTCAGTTAGTTTATTATTTATTATAACAAGACGAGTTGGTTAGCAGTCATAAAATATCTTGCTCCTCATTGATTTTAGATATGACCAAGGAGCAGTGATCGATATTTTTCATGCTTCCGATGATTCTGATTGGTCTATCAATATCAAAAAAGGTTAAGAAAGCATTATTTAATCAATTGATTAATTACTTAATAAAATCAATACATTTTGGTTATTAGAAATAACTTTTTGATACAAAACAATCACATAAACACGGAGTTGAACGTCTGTCTGGTTAAATAAATTATCACTCAATCTTAAAATTTAACAAACAATAAAATTGTTAATAAAGTTGCAGATTTACTATTCAACTTTTTAACTAATCAATCATTAAATGAAAATCAGGAGTTATCAGTGCTTTGCAACTGCGAGTAGCCAACAAATGGCAACAGTCTGGCAGCAGTCTAGTTTCATCTGCTGAGAGATCGACTGATACAAAATCTCCGGTGAAAGTTTTCGAGACTGTCGAGGTAACTTCTTGACAGTTTATTCAGTTAACAAAGCAAATGCTACTATTAAAATTAATTATACGTTTTTATTAGTTATATATTCACATTTATAGTAAATAAAAAAATAAACAAAATTTCGAATAAATTGTTTTTTCCAATGTTAGACTGATGTCCTTGGCAAATGTACATCTACCTATGCCATCTACCATTCAACCGGAAGGCTACCCGATCCATTTCAAGCTTCTTTACCTAGGTTTATTTTTAACAAAATTCTAACTCACTAAACAAATTTGAAAACAAATAAGTAAGAATAGGTGACTGAGTGGTGTAATGAATAAGGTGTCTGTTATTGCTGTTGCAGTAACCGGATTTGAATGCGAAGAGATCTCCGCCTATCACATGCATTGTGTTTGACGCATAGATTCATGCGTATTAACAAGCGATGTGTATTTTGCTGTAGATTCACCTGAAAAATATTCAAGGGAAAATTGAAAAAAACAAAAAATTTTAAAATTAAGCAACGATGCTGTGGTTCGTAAGGTAAGAGACAGCGCTGGATGCATCAAAGTTTATGGAAAACCAGTGGGCCTTTATGCTGGCTTGCCACATTTGGCCGAAGAAAAAGTAAGTGCAATATTAATATAAATGATATTTTAAAGCATTAATTCATTGTTTCTTTTTAGGATTTAATTGATGGCTCAGTGACAGTTGAATCCCACATAAGCGGCAACCTTGAGAACTTTTTAATAAAAAAAGTAGAAGTCAAAGGTAAGTACCACTTCACTCCATACGTTGAAGAAGGAGGGCATGTTAGCACTCAAGTTCTGTTAGTAATCCATAGTTTTATTAGATGACAATGTGATTAAAAATTGAATAAATAAGCATTTAAGCATACACACACATATATGCAAAAATTGCGAACTAAGGTCTTGTTATAGGCCAGTGCGTATACATATTTTATTAAATTATCACTATAGTATTATTTATTAATTTAAATTATAATTTTTCTATTTCTAATAATATATTGCAATTTGTTATTTAGTTTTTTAATTAAATTAACGTTATGTTTTATAATATTTATTTCATTGCTGTTAATATAAAAATAACATATTAAAATAAAAATAAGTTAATGAAATATATTCTTCTTCCTTCTCGTGTCTTATCCTTTCAAGACATTGGCGATGATCGACATCCACAAAACCCGATCTTTAACCCTTTGTAGTAGTTGAAATGTGGTGATCTTCAACAAGTGACACAACGACTTCACGAATGTTATTCCTTTTTGACCGCTATCTCTTTTACCTACGATCTTTCCAGTAGTTGTTAGATTTTCCATTCTTTCCTCCGCATGGTGTGACCTAAAAACATTAACAGCCCCCGTCAGATTATCTGTAGTAATTTTTTCTTTTCATAGTCAGACTGTTTTAATACATCCTCATGAGAAGTCCAACTAATTTTCATAATTCTTCTCAAAAACTACATCTCAGAAGCGTTATTTTTTTCCATTTTTTTTTAAATTGTCTAGGACTCAGAGCCGTAAGTTAGCAGAGGAAAAATATAACACTCTAACAGTTTTAATTTAGTTGATATTTTGATTTTACTGTTGGTGAGGATGTTTTTCATTTTAGAATATGCATCTATCTTTTGATATCTATAGAGATTACACAGGTCTGGAGATAATACACAGCCTCGCCTAACACTTTTCTTGATTTCGACAAAACTAGTCATCTTGTTACCAACTTTCATTGCTGCTCTTTGTTCCCAACAGAAGTTTTTGATAATTTTCGTGTCTTTTCCATCAATTTCCAAATTTTCTAATATTTTAACAAGCTCCACGTTTTTGATGTAATCGACAAAACATACAAACAAGTCTTTCTTCATTTCAATCGCTCATTTACTGATCATTTGTAGCATAAAGATAGCGTTTCTTGTGCCACAGTCCTCGACAAAACATATTGAACATTCGAAATTTCAGATCTTATTTAAGTTCGTGCTTTCATCATGAGAAGAGAAATTTTGTAAGACGACTCATCAAGCTGATTGTTCGATGTAGTTCACATACCGTTGCATGGAGTTTTTTTTAGATAATCTTCAGGAATATATTAGATAAAAACCAATAGAATTAAAATAGTTTAATTAAAACAAAAAGCTTTCTTTGGCAAAATTGCCATCATAAGTGTTATAATTTGACCAGTGTTACGTATTGTTAATTTAATTAATAAACTAAATAATAATTAACAATATATTATTAAAAAAATTAAAAGTAGTAAATAATACAACAGCAATAGAATTTAACAGTGAGGAGAAGTGGGATCTTTTTTGATTACTTGGAACTTTTTTGTATCCTTGAAAACATCATTGAGTTTTTCATGATAGTCTGCTCGGTCAATAATGACATATGTGCCGAATTATCTGCGCGTCGTATTTTAATGTTTTTAGTTTCCCTAAGCTGTTTTGCCGCTTCTATTATTTCATCAGTGAGCAGCTTGCTTTGGAAACTTCCTTGTTTCTTGGTTTCAGCTTGAAGATTATCATGAAAAACTCAATGATGTTCTCAAGAATACAAAAGAGTTCCAAGTAATCAAAAAAGATCCCACAAACTAAACTTAACACAATAATTAAAAAAATAAAAAGCACATCACTTATAGGCGAATACTCTCCTGGCTACTTATATGGAAATATAAAAACGCATAAAAATAATCATCCCATCCAACCAATTATTAGCCAAATTACAACAGTCACATACCCTGTTGCAAAATTCTTGAACAAAATTTTATTCCAAACAATTACACACTACAATTTCAGATATGGTTCCATTGAGCATACCGAAAGCACAACTGAAGTCCATTCTTAAAATTTGCACTACCGAAGCACCATTCCACAGTCCCACAGGCGAACTTTACAAGCAAATCGACGGTGTCGCTATGGGATTTCCCCTCAGCGTCCTATTTGCCAGTTTTTACCTAGGACATCTGGAGAATGAGACCTTCAAAAACAATGCAAATTTAAAACCAAATATCTTTGCTAGATACGTTGATGATATCTTTGCCTCCTGTAACGATCATGAACAAATCAAAATTAAGATTTACCATTGAAATTGAAAAGGAACAACGTTTACCTTTCCTCGATGTGTTGGTCACCCGTGGCGAAGAACGATTCAAAACTGCTGTCTATGTCAAAGAAACAAATACAGAAATTTGTTTGAATGGACAAAGTGAATGTACCGAACAATTAAAAGACAGCACAATAAAATCATTTGTAAACCGGGCATTCACACACTCTTCCGATATTGAAAATCGCAACGCTTAATTAAAAAGAGTCACCAACCTACTTGTAAACAATGAATATAAGACTTATTCTATTGAAAAAATTGTTAAGGGCAAATTACTACACAACAATAACTTTTCTAATACCAACAATCAAAATAACGACATCATCTTGCATTACAGAAATTACATGTCAACCGCATACAAAGTAGATGAAGCTATTCTTAAACATATCATCAATAAAAATGTCACACCAACCAACCCAAATAGTAAAGTTAAACTCTGAATTTATTACAACAATAAAAAGACGTCTCACCTATTACTGAAAAACAATTGTAGTCCTAGAGATAACTCTGTGTTAAAACGTAATCACGTAATATATATATGAATTTAATTGCCCCTTTGACGGCTGAGAAAGTCAACATGAAAAGTAATATACCAGAACACCAACTACACGCATCTTAAAATTGCAGAAGCAGTCCTAATAGACCAAAAATTAATATACAACAAAAAATGACAACCTCACACCCAACCCTACGCTTAATCAACAATTAAAACAAAGAAGTAATAAAAACTAGCATTGTAAATAATGACAAAGAAGAATTTGATGCTATCGATCGAACCAACGAAGATGGACCAGCCAATAAAGAAATCTGACACCTAATTTCCATCTAAGTTCACTTTTACAAAGTTAATATTTCCTTATATAAGTCAAATTGCACTGATGATGATTCATCCGGAATCGAAATATGGCCTTATTTGCAGCATGAATTCGGAAAATAAGTTTATTTTTAGTTTTAATTAACTAAACGTTCTCCAAAAAACCTTAGTGAGAAAAATCGAAAAAACGAACTACAAACATATTAACGCCAGACATTCGGTAGAACTTATAGAATATTGTAAAATTATGCTCTATTACCAACATATGTATATATATATATATATATATGTATATTTCAAAAACAGTTTTAGGAGTAAAAATTTTTCAATATTTCTAACATTTTAGTCATGTTCATTACATTCTACCACAACTAACATAATCTTTACCAGTGTTAACATGTTTCTAGGTAATTGTAATTGTTTTTTCAAACGCAGTCAGAAATTAGTTCTTCAATCAGTAAAAGACAGTATTCTTCCACAATTCGACGAAAAGTTTGATCGGGAAACTGATAGCCAAATAATGAAATTGCCAATCGATGAATTAAGACAGGGTGAACGATTTCCAGAAGATCAAGAAACTGTTCACACTATTGGAATTAAATTCGAAGAAGTGAGATAAAACTTAATGATGATCACCTAATCAAATCAATAATATTAATAGCAATAGTTAAAAAAACGGCGAAATCACAGTTATTTCGTTATTTAAAATTATCCTCAGTCTTGCTTTAATTTTGTTCTCTAATTGCTTTATTTAAATTATTTTATTTGATTAACTATTTTAAATTGATTGCACATTTTAGTGGTTTTGATGTACTTTTTCAACTACTAGCTGGCAGTTTTGATTGAAACCAACGTACTGGAGGAAACACTTCCTCAAAAAATTATGCAACTGTCACTTCTAATGAAAGAACTTTCCAAAGAAGCTCTTGTTACTATGTTTCAGACTTTAAAAAGTCAAGTAAACACTAATACACGCTCCAAAATAAAATTGTTAGTGATAGAACTGTTTAATTAGTTCCTTGGTGGCTTGTTTTTACGTTTTTAAATATGTTAATAAAATATTTAAATAAAAAAATCATTGCTGGCACTGTGAGAAAAATAAATATTTTTGTTCAATCAACCAACAGCGAAATCTTTGCTGACTTGCTACCAACGGCTCAGTCAGCTGCTGTTGTTCCTGCAGTGGTTGATTTAATAGCTAGCAGAAGTATCTATGGTCTTAGAGCTCACATCGCTCTGAACGCTATTGCTCTTATTTCTTTTCCTACAAAGAAAAATGTTGAATATTTAATGGTTAGATTATTTTGGCGCTGCGATGTTTTGAAACATAACTTAAAATGTTTATTAACTCTTCAAAACACTCAAATTTATTTTTTGATGATAACCAAATTAAAACTTTAAGCATAGAAAATTTAGAAGTAGACTCCAATCTTTGTGTTACACATTAATGGACTGGCAAAACCTTTACAAATTATCGTACAAATGAATATGTAATGTGTATCGGTATTTGCTCACCTGATCCAATAAAATAACTGTGTAGCCAAAGAATGGGCCTGCTTTTAAATTTATGAAACATCATTTTGTACAACAAAAACTTAACAATAACATGTAAGCAAGATTATAGTATTTTATTTCACAAATTTTGATATTTTATTTAAACGATGACGACAAAATCTCAATGCAAAAAAAAAATAATTACATGTTGAGGAACTTTAATCTACATATGATGTATAAATGCTTCATATATTCACATATTTTTGCACAATCCCATTAAAATAGTTATAATTATATGCAGCGGTTGCTCGAGAAAATTGGAAATTCTGAAGGACCAGAGGAATGTAGCCACTTGAGACAAACTGTGTTACTCACCATTGGATCTCTGGGAAACAAAGCCATTACATTGATTAGACAGAAAAAAATGACTGACGTTGAATCGAAAGATATTCCCGACAATATTCTTTTGGTAAATTCGATATTGTTTATGATGCTAATATTAATATTTTTATTAAAGATCACTGAAATTGTTCATGATGTTATTATGTCTAAGGAACGATCATGATGATAGATGTGTAATAGGAAAGCTGGCAAAATTTTTTATTTATTCTTTATAACTGATTAATTAGTCAGTTATTTGTCGTCCATTCAATCGGTCATGACATTTTGTGATAAGGAAAATCATGCACACCAGTTTTATTTGACATCTTATCGGCATTAGTAATTATGTCAACAATATTGTTAAAGATAGCTTATTTGTATACAACAGGGTATCATATTCATCTTTATATAAGCTGTTTAATTCTATCACAAACTGCCAGCTAAATTATTAAATTAATAAATCACTTTTTTGTTAACCAAAATCTCACCTGTCACAATCGTCATTATCCATGCAGAAACTCGCTCGTCTGTTGTCCGAGCCACGAGATGTTTTAGAAAAAATTGCAGTTGTTAAAGCAATGGGCAACTTGGGTTCAAAAAAATCAGTTATCCTACTTAGAAATATAATTTTTGAACCATCTCTATCTGAATCACTACGTATGCATGCCATTTATGCCCTCAGAAAAACATCTGTATTTTATCCAAATGATGTTAGTGCGCTGTTGATGTTGTGGAGGTTTATTGTCTTTTTGCAGATATTTCAATAGAATGTTTGAATCGCTTGAATAATCGTTTCATTTATTTAGCTATTAGCAATCAAAAACAACTAATATAACTCTACTAAAACAGTATTTACCCTCCGAGAATGAATTGTTTACGAGTAAATTTAAATGAATAAATAAATATATATAATAAATAAATTTAAGTAAACTTTTTCAAAATTGTTATATAATGATTATTTTAGGTACATCCAATTTGTTTGGCTGTTTTCATGGACCATTCTCAGCCAATTAAAATAAGACAAGCAGCTTTTGACGTTGTAAGAAATGGTTTTCCTTCTTTAACAGTTCTTCAAATGATTGGACAAAGCATGAGAGATGAACCCCATCGTCAAATCAAGACTTACGTTTACACATCGTTGTTAGCTCAGGCTAATCACATGACAAACCAAAAAACATACAAACAGTCGTTAGTATAAGAGATTGCTTTAACATTTTTACTTTAATATATTGTGATCAATAATGATTTCCAGAGCGGAATATGCCAGAAAAGTCTTGAAACAAATCAGACCTCTTATTCCAGGCTTACTTGATTCAAAAGCCATCGATGCCCAATTTTTCAGCGGTCAGTAGCAAAAATAAATAATTATTAAAAACACATTTAATGAAATGATTAAAAGTTTAATTGTAGATTCAGTAGATGATTAAGTGCAAATACTCGAAACTAAATTATTAAATATTAACTATCGAGTAATTTGTTTTAACAATTAATATAAGTGAAGTGATGGCCTAGTAGCTAAGGTTGCCTGGTCTTTTCGCGCAATGACCATGTTCGAAAAGGAGAAGGATTCCCGATTGTCACGTGCATTGCAAGTGATGATTCGCGTAGTAATCATTCATACACGCTGCTAGTATGGTGTTGATTCATTTGAAATTTTAAAGAATTTAATGGACATTTAACCTTTATGAACATTCACAGAAAAGTTAAACATTGGTGGAACACTGAATTTAAGAAAAATTAGACAAACGGAATCACCATTACCCGACAAATTTATTCTCAGTTCTCATGGACATATATTCGACAACCATCTAAAATTTATTGAAGTATTAATATATATATATATATATATATATATATATATATTGGTAACAGACTGTTGTTAACGCAACATTTCAAAAATTCAACACTACTTTCAACATTGTTCAACTTTTTTATATTTCTTTTTAATTTAATGTTTTTCTGTTTTTGATTTCTGCAGAAATACTCCGTGATTTAGTCTGGCGTGTAAATTTTGGTAACAGACTGTTGTTAACGCAACATTTCAAAAATTCAACACTACTTTCAACATTGTTCAACCTTTTTATATTTCTTTTTAATTTAAATTTTTAAATTAAAAAGAAATATTAAGAAGTTGAACAATGTTGAAAGTAGTGTTGAATTTTTGAAATATATATATATATATATATATAAACAATTAATATTATACATATATAATAGATAAATATCTACTTCATGAGGTTTGATAATATTAATTGAAAATTAAACATCAGATTGGAGTTCAGTTGAACAAGGTTTACGAAATGGTCAGAGATATTTATGGCCTTGGTCCTTACGGTGAATATTGGACACAAGGATCGAAAGGATTTAAAACTGAAATTGAACTGCCTAAAGAGTTGTTGGATTGGCTGAAAAGTGTAAGTACTCATTTTACTGTTTTCTTTTGTTCAATTTTTGATATAGATTTTTTTCATCAATAAACAATCTTTTCAAATTCTTACAATTATAAAATTATAAAAATGGTGTTAAACTATGATACAGCTTTCTAGATAATTTTTGCAAATCTATACACAATCTACGTGCATAGCAAGTATATTTAAATATATATATTTTTTACAACATTCTATAAATTCTACCGAATGTTTGGCGTTAATATGTTTGTAGTTCGTTATTTCAATTTTTTTCACTAAAGTTTTTTGGAGAACGTTTAGTTTATTAAAATTCAAAATAAACTTATTTACCGAATTCATGCTGCAAATAAGGCCATATTTCGACTCCGAATGAATCATCATCAGTGCTTTCTGCTGTTTATATAGGGAAATATTGACTTTGTCAAAATGAACTTAGATGGAGATTGACTTTGTCAAAATAAACTTAGATGGAAATTAGGTGACAGGTTTCTTTATTGGCTGGTCATCTTCTTTGGTCTCCTTTTCTTCATCGATAGCATCATATTCTTCTTTGTCACTATTTACAATGCTAGTTTTTATTACTTCTAAAGAATATATATACATATATATATATATATATATATATATATATATATATATCTTCGTTTTGCGTCCAGAGACCCGGTTTCCCGAGTTAGGCCGTTGTTTTTTTTGCCATCAACTTTTTGCGCCATTTAAATCTAGAGCTTGCTCAATTGTTTGCGACCAGGACTTTTTTGGACAGCCTTTGGGACGTGTGCCAGGTACTTCAACATCTGCAAGAGAAGTTATGGCACTGTTTAAACTTCGTTTGACATGACCAAAAAACCGCAGACGGTGTGGCCGGCATTCGTCCTTTTTATCATCTAAACCAGCACGACGCAGGATTTCAGTAGATTTGATGTGGTCTTTCAGACTAATTTGTTGCATTCATCGGAGCATTTTCATATTGGTTCGTTGAAGTTGTTGCTCCAGTTTGGTTGTCATTGGCCATGTTTCTGCACCATATAACAACACAGGACGTATCACAGATTTTTAAAGTCTTGATAGTTGTGGTAGTGGGATGTCACGCCGCACCAATATAGAGGCAAGGAAATGCCATTTATTCCAGGCTGCACGTATGTGTGCTCGGACGGCAGCTTCAGCTGTTCCAGTACAATCCAGAACATCCCCTAGATATTGAAACGATGTGATTTTCTCTACCTTAATGGCTTCAAAAACAGTGCTATTTCGAATTTGTTGTTTTGGATTGATGCAAACTGGACAAACAAAATTGGACACTTTAGATAAAGTACCAATTATTTTTGAACAACGTTTGTCACACCACTGGTTACACTGCTGACACTTGATTGAATTGTTACCTACACCATCTTTACAAACTGAACAGGGCCATCATCCAGTAGCTGTGGATTGGATGGGTTCACCAGTGTTCATTGCTTTAGTTTTGCTGATGTTGACTTTGAATCCATGATCGGCGAGTTGGGTGTTCCAATCTTCAAACATCTGTGCTGCATTCTGCTCAGTCATGGCTGTTAAAACGATATTATCAGACGATATATTAGATTCCAAATGTCACCAGTGCGTATCGGTTTTGTGATTTCTTCCATCACAGTTATAAATAACAGTAGACTGAGAATCGAGCCTTGGTGAACTCCAACGCCGATGTCAAATGCAGCTGTTTTTCCAACCGTTGTGCTGACGAGAGTCTTAGTATTCGTATACATTTCCATTACAAGTTGAACAAGATATTCTGGAATAAGTTGTCGACGTAGACTTCACCTGATTGCTTTACGGGGAACTCGATCAGATGCTTTTTCTAGGTCTACAAAATGTGTGATAGTTGTTGATGCTTTGCGAGGTACTTCTTTTGCAATTGCCGAAAGATGTGAATTGCATCAATTGTTGATTTCCCCGCTAGGAAACCAAATTGATAATTTCCGATTGTGATGCACGACGTTAATCTTCTCTCAATGATTTTTTCGACAATTTTCAGGGAGTGTTCTAACAGACGTATACCCCGATATGATGAACAGTTCAATGGATTACCTTTGCCTTTGTATTGCGGGACTGTCATGCTATAGTTCCATTCAGTCGGCATTGAGCAATTTCTCCAGATTTTACTGCAAAGTTGTAATAACGTTAGGATACCTGCAGTACCAGATGCTTTGATAATGTCATTTGTGAGTCCAGAGGGCCCTGCTGCTTTTCCATCCTTCATAGCTTTCAGAGTTTCTGTAAGCTCCTCTACAGTGATGTCTGGAATCGGACCTTCGATGGGTGGAACGTCAGTTATATATATATATATATATATATATATATATATATATATATATATATATATTAACGTCAAACATTCGGTAGAATTTATAGAATATTGTAAAAATTATGGTCTATTACCAACATATATATATATATATATATATATATATATATATATAATAAATATGTAAACTATTCATACATGTTGATCGATTTATTTATTTTAAACTAGATAAATTTACATACTTAGTAAATAAAATTAACATTTTATTGAGGCAGAAATCATCAACCATGCCCTTGAAAGAGCCTCAGCTTGAGGCTTACCTGGACATTGTCGGCCAAGAATTGCAATTTGTTGAGTTGAACAAAGAACGATTGCTAGCCATCAAAGAATATCGTAAAATTAATATGTTTCATTGACATTTTTTTTACAAATTAATTGAATCAAAGAAATCACTCAATCATTAAAAATATGCTTACTAAATTGAATAAATAAATATTTCTTGTAGTATCATATGTATATATATATATATATATATATATGATACTACAAGAAATATATATATTTCATATATATATATAGATGATACTACAAGAAATATTATATATATTTCATATACATATATAAGTTATTAAGAAATATCACCGCATTTTCCGCATTGTTGAGTTTGTAACTAAGTCATGGACTAGAAACATCACAGATGACTGTAATGCGTTGAATTGAGAATTAGATGACAATAACTTAGTTAAAACAAAACAATGCGGAAAATGTGGTGAAGTTTCTTATTAACTGTATATACAATTATTTATATATATTATTTATATATATATATATATTTTGGTAACAGACTATTGTTAACGCAACATTTCAAAAATTCAACACTATTTTCAACATTGTTCAACTTTTTCATATATATATATATATATATATATATATATATATATATATATATATATATATATATATATATATATATATGAGTTATTTATTTAATCAATTTTGCAGTTTACACACTTTTCATGATGACTCCAGTCCTACAAAAGACACTGAACAAAATATCATACGATAAGTCTATGGCCGTGGTCTCCAATTCTGTAATTTTACCAACTCCAGCCGGTATCCCGCTTAAACTATCAATTTCTTTTGGTGGAATTGTGAGTGTCAAAGGAGAGATTATGCCAGATATTGAATTTAGCATGACACCAAAGTTCAAGCTTGAAGGAAGCATTACACCTGTGTATGATTTAAAAAAAATTTTAAGCTATAAACATTTGTAATTTAATCACAACAACTGAAAAAATTCAAATAAAAAAGGAATAAATTAATTAATTAACCACTAATTGTAAATTAAACAGAAATTAACATGAACACAAATTATTCAGAAGTTAACATGAACACAATTTATTTAGAAGTTAATATGATCACAATTTATTTAGAATTAACGGACAACTCTTTGCCTCCATGGGCGTTGATGCTCAATGGATCAAAACAGGAGTTGCTGTCAAAGCAGTTGTCAGAGGAGCTTTGCCCTTTTCCGGTGCTGTTCACCTTGATGTTGCTCAGAAAAAGTTGACTATTCGCTCTAAAATTTCGCCAAATGTATGGTTCACGTTATTGTAATGTTGATCCAAAAATCATGAAATTTAACAGCAATATTTAATTTTGTAGACTCCAAAGTTTTTCCACGTTGAAGTTGTACCAATAACTATCGTTTATCATCTTCCAAAGTCCGGCGTCCAATTACCAATCTATTTTCGGATGAAAGAATTGAATGTTAATGATTCAGCTGTTCTCATTCAGAAAACAGTAAGTTATGACGCTGGTAGCAACAAAAACAGTGCATTTAATCGTATTGTTGGAAATGTCGATGACTGAATCTAAAATTAGTAATAATTATAAAAATATGTTGTTTACATTTTTTAATTTAAAATAAATAAAAAAGTAAAATTATAGGCAACGCCCACTGCATTTTTCAAAAAAGTTGTTTTAATAATTGATTTTATTTTTCCATTAAAAACAGTTTAATCATTTTTTAAAACAAATTATTTGAAAATAGTAGGAATTTAATTATTACAGAAAATGCTATTTATTCCAAAATAAAAATTTTCATTTTTACAAATTTCTTAAACTTTTCAATCAGCATGAATTGAATCTGTTCGGTCTTAGAGGCTCCGTCATCGTTGAACGAACCAAATCAGCCATAACGTGGGGACCGTTTGTACCATTGAATGGTAAACAAAGTATCCTCATTAAACTTCAAGGTCAAACTGAAATTGACGAGGAAATTTATTTCAAGGTATAAGTTAATTTTTATATACATTTATATAATTAATTGATTAATGTTTTTAGTCATAACTATGTGCCTTATTTTTATTATATAACGTGTATAAGTACATATATTTATAAGACGTCTCACCTAATACTGAAAAACAACTGTAGTCCTAGAGATAACTCTGTGCTAAGGCGTAACCACGTAATATATGAATTTAATTGCCCTTTTGACGGCTGTGCACGTCAACATGACTCATATATCGGGCTTACTACTATCTCACTGACTAGAAGGATTACGATGCATAAACAGAGTGGTGCTATCAAATCTCATTTGGACTCAACACACTCAATCACTATTAGCCGTGAAATCCTCGAGAGTAACACCAAAGTAATATACCAGAACAGCAACTACACGCATCTTAAAATTGCAGAAGCAGTCCTAATTGACATCAATAAACCAAAAATAAATATATAACAAAAAATGACAACCTCACTTCCAACCCGGCGCTTAACCAACAACAACAACAAAGTAATAAAAACTAGCATTGTAAATAATGACAAACAAGAATATGATGCTATCGATGAAGAAAAGGAGACCAAAGAAAACAACCAGCCAATAAAGAAACCTGACACCTAATTTCCATCTAAGTTCACTTTGACAAAGTCAATCTCCATTTTCACAAAGTCAATATTTCCCTATATAAACAGCAGAAAGCACTGATGATGATTCATTCTGAATCGAAATATGGCCTTATTTGCAGAATGAATTCGGAAAATAAGTTTATTTTGAATTTTAATAAACTAAGCGTTCACCAAAAATTTATATATCTATATGTATATATCTATCCAGCTTAAAATGATTTCAATCATTGTTGCCTAAAAATCTTACATGAAAATGTTTGATCACATTGTTAATTAATCAATAAGATGCATACCTAAAATCAAGCTCACAAATATAAATCTGAATAAAAATCAAATCAAATTAAAATCTGCATTTTCAACATTTAGACTAGATGAACTCGATGTTATTGCATGCCGAAATTGATACAACTATATCAAGAGCAAGCTAAGATCAAAATTTAGCAAAAATTTTAGTTAAAGAAAACATTAATAATAAGTCAAACTTTATTGAAATTTATACTTATGATTAAAAGAAGGATATCAGCGATATCAGCAGTGGTAGTTTATCGATATCAGCAATGGTAGTTTATTAACAGCGATTACATCCACAAACACTTCACCTTCTATGTCATGCCACAATATAAACTGCAGAAACCATAGTTATAGACGCGGCTATAGACTTCATCGCTAAATTGACTGAAATGTTTTTTATAACATTTTCTAATTCTTTATAAATTTTTTAAGCGCTTAAAAAAATACAAACCTCAACATCCACTAATTATTCAAATGCAAAACCAAATATACACAATACTGAATAACCTAAATAAATTAATATGATGTGGATTTCCAGCCATATTGGAATTAAAGGTAACGAAACCGTGGACCAACAAGCAGCATGAGCCTACTCAATTCTTATATCAAACATCCCATTACCGCACAGCAATTTGATGGTTTCAACAAACAACCACACTGTCGAAAAATAGCAAAATAAATGGAATGAAATCTCAAAATTTTCATCTATTTATAGTAAATACATAAAAGAATGAAAATGCCTATCTAAATCGTAATCCTCAAACTATTTCTAATAGATTGAAATAAGTCATTTGGCCTTTACCCATTCATGGATCTTTGACAAAATAAATCCACTTATATGTGAAATTTGCAGCAACAGATTAAAGATCCAACATATTGAAATAATATTGGAATAGATTGAGGCCGTTGTTTTTCAATAAAATTTATTAAAAATAAAGTTTTTATTTAGTTTAATAGATTAATATTTAGTCTCTAAAAATTATCAAAAAATTTTTTTTTAATTTTTCCTCTTTTTGAAAGCTGATTAACTGGGAACCTGAAACTGGTTTAGGATTTTTCGGTTTGGAGTATCAGACGCAAGAAGAATTAGTGAAATACAGCAACCTACCACACTGGAAAAATGAAGATATTGAGTATGTTCTTCTTTTTTCATAGTTTTAGGTTATATAATTTTAGTTTTCGAATGATATGATGTTTTTCTGTTCAATACACAATAATATTAGTTTGAAACTTTTAAGATCTTTCTATAATTTTAAAAACATTTTTACAGTTCATATTTTACAAGCTCATTGGAACAATCTCCAGAATTTAGTAAAGTAAAAGTTGATCCAGTTTTTACCAAACCAAAAAAACTTGTTGCAGTTTTTGAAATCGGCAATTCGAAAAGCGGAGCAATTCATGCTAAAACTCAAATTACTTATATCCACGGACAGGTAATGACCAAAACGACATTATGTCATTGTCACTTTTATAAAATCTCATCTTTTAAATAATCTCAGAAAAACATTGGTACGCATAATGTGCTGTATACAAATATATTTACACATTTTTGTAGACTCATCTGGAGCAACAACTCTCAGTACAGTTTTACCTTCCCAACGTTCCAACAAAAGCAAGTTACTTTAACTTTTTATAAATTAATTATTAAATTATTGATATAATTGTATTTAGTGACAAACTTGTAGACATAACAAATAAAATAAAACTCGAAATTTCAAGAGGTAGTTTGCACCGCTACTAATGGCTAAAGTATCCGTAAAGTTAGTCCAAAACCAAATGTTACACAAATACTTTCTTGACAAAACTTCCGGAGTAATAGGAAAGGCACCAGGCCCCGCTGTGAATGGGTTTTCTGGCAAAAATAGTCACACTTAACACATGCAATGTGTGTGATTTGTTCATTCATACGTATTTACATGCGCTATAACAATACAGACGTGTGTTTTAAAAAGACTTTTTTCTTCAGGTTGAGAAACATTTAAAAAGCATATTTGCTTTACTGCAGATACATAGTTGAATTTATCAATATTTGCAGAAAATAAAAATATTGAAATAATTGTTAATATGGACGATGAACAGGTGGAACTCCACGCTTCCCTTCGAGCACCTCCAAGACTTTCGCATTTACCAAGTGATCAAGAAATCAGTGTTTTGAAATTGAGTTTAAAAACCATCAATCTCGATTCCGCATCGTCATCGAATGGAGTCAGCATAGACGTTAGTCGAACGATTTTAGTTAGATTTATTTACTTTATTACTGTTATTTATTTAGTTTATTCATTTATTCTGTTTATTTATTTATTTATTAAGTTATTTATCAAGTTTATTCAATCGGTTTATTTTTAGTTTGTTTGATTTTTTTAATTTTATAATTTATTGTTATATTTTTGTGGGCAACATAAAAATCTTAATTTGTTGCTTCACAGGTTAGACGTACTGCCAGAAAAAGTTGGGTTGATCAGCTAAGAAAATTTTATAACGGATACATTTCAAGCAGTCTTAGTACCACCCCTGCTGATTATATCTACAAAACTAAAATTCAAGTTCAAAAAGTCAGAATATTATATATATATTATTAACATATTATAAATATATATATAGTATGAATGCATAAATTCTACTGATGTGTTGGCATTAATTAATTTAAACTTTAAATTGATTAATGCCAACTATTCGGTAGAATTCATACAATACTTATATTGCTTACAGTAGATTATTTACATTATCCCCCACCTTAGTCTTAGTCCTTAGCATAAGCGTTATTTCTTTATTCCTATGAATTATGGCTAACTTATCCAAATGGACAACTTTATTCTTTATCTTTCGTAATCATAGGTCCTGTGTATCACATCTTTTATCTTATTAATAACTTTGTACTGATCTTTCCAATTCTTTGGGAGTTTTGCCGGGCCTCGCCTTCTTCTGCGCCGTAGGTTGTACAAATGGACCAGGTCATTGCTTTTGAAATCTGAGTTATTTCTGTTTAGTTTACGCAGAGCTTTTGTTGTTTCAGTTTTTCTAGCCATAGGCAGACGTCGTGGTCTTTACTTGATTTCGTTGGCACTTGAATCAAGTGCTTTTTCTATGTTTACGAGGTGTAGAATAACCAGACGGATAGCTCTGATGCATATTGTAATATTCGTTGTTCACATCTTTCCTGTCGATCATTGATGCAGCGATGAAAAACTCCTCTTCATCAATCAGCAATGAAGCCGCCGTTGATGTCATCATCCAGGCAGACAAGGATCAAGTTTTCATTACAAGTGCGTTCAGGAAAGGTTTTCTCAAAACTTGAAAATCATCTGTCACCAATTCGTGTTTGGTATAAATATTTGCATCAACAATAACATCACGGTCTTGGACATCGTTAACGTTTAAATAATCGTTGTCGCTTTTAGAAAGAAAAAAAGACGAGTTGCTGACGGCAAGATCAAAGTGGTAGTCCAACTGTATATCAAAAGTTTCAATGTCTTTGTCACTATCAACTTAAATATTTTCAAGACCTTTATCATCGTCTTCGTCATCATCTTTTCCATTTCGATCGAAATGAAAACATTATACAACTTGCTGGCAGAAATATTTGAGTTTCTCACTGCTTATCAAAAGTTTCAATGTCCTTGCCAACTTCTGGACTATTCTCAAAACCTTCATCATCTTCGACATCATCATCATCATTACGGAGTCCTTTTGGCGGTTCATCAAACTGTCTTTGCTCCTTTCAAATCGATTTTGATAGTTTCGATTTTGTAGTTCCCTCCTCAGATTAGTTGCATTGAGTTCTTTATTGCTGAAAGTTTCAAATTATCAAAAATTTTACTTCTGGCTCCACTTTTGAAAACTTAAACGATCGTCACTACCGCCACCAATGTTATAATCTTCAAAGATCCAGATTTTCGAAACCAGTGTTGTAGTTTCCAACGATTGTCAAGTTCAGTTGTCGTTATTCCGTAGGTTCAAGATGATTAGATAAACACAACTGTTTCAAACGCAAACTTTGTTGAACGTTTATTTAACTGCTAACAGTAATAGAAATATCAAACTAATCCAATTAACTACATAAATCACATTTACGACTTCAATTCACACCTTACTATTAACCACACTATGCACCAGTCTTATATAGCCTACAGTAGATTGATTTTTCCATTTTTAGCGTGGATTTACAAGCAAATTTTCTTGCTTCAGCCATTGGAAATAATAAAATTGAATTAAATTGAACATATATATTATATATATCAAGTTTTTACAATATATATATATATATATATTGTATATAATATATATATATACAGTATGTATATATATATATATACAGTATTGTACGAATTCTACAGAATTGTTGGCATGAGTCAATTTAATGTATGTCTTTTCAGTTTTCTTTGCTAGAATTTCATACGATACTGTATAAATAGTTTACTAGAATTTCATACGATACTGTATAAAATAAGGTCTCCTTCAAACATACATATATATATATATATATATATATATATATATATATATATATATATATGTTGGTAATAGACCATAATTTTTACAATATTCTATAAATTCTACCGAATGTTTGGCGTTAATATGTTTGTAGTTCGTTTTTTAATAGTGACAAAGAAGAATATGATGACATCGATGAAAAAAAAGAAACCAACGAAGATGGACCAGCCAATGAAGAAACCTGACACCTAATTTCCATCTAAGTTCACTTTGACAAAGTGAATATTTCTCTATATAAACTAAATCGCACTGATGAAGATTCATTCGGAATCGAAATATGGCCTTATTTAAATGAATTCGGAAAATAAGTTTATTTCGAATTTTAATAAACTAAACGTTCACCAAAAAACTTTAGTGAGAAAAATCGAAAAACATATTAACGCCAAACATTCAGTATAATTTATAGGATACTGTAAAATATATATATATATATAATATATATATATATATATATATATATATATATATATATATATATATATATATATATATATATATATATATATATATATGTTGCCCAAAGGAGTTACCTGTCAATCATATTATTCATTCATTCAATCAAAACGTATTTCAATATTTTAATATTTATTAAAAAATATATTTATATACATTATATTATTATATTTATATAAGTTACGTGAAACCTAGATTACGTAAAACTTGATATATACATGCACAATTTAATTCAATTTTATTATTTCCAAGGGCAACATATATATATATATATATATATATATATATTATATAAGTTACGTGAAACCTAGATTACGTAAAACTTGATATATACATGCACAATTTAATTCAATTTTATTATTTCCAAGGGCAACATATATATAACATATATATATATATTATAATAATATAATGTATATAAATATATTTTTTAATAAATATTAAAATATTGAAATACGTTTTGATTGAATGAATAATATGATTGACAGGTAACTCCTTTGGTTAGAAAGGTTATAGTTTCAACCATTGATGCAATCAAAAAAGGGAAAACCTGGTCGATATATACCATGATCCCGGAAGATTTCATGCAAAAGATGCAGCAGCAACCATACACCATTGATTCCTACGTTCAATATGTTCCTAGATTTGAAATGGTTGACAAACAAATATTTTTTAATCTATTCTATAATCATTTATAATGATATAGTATTTTACAAGAAAAGGCAAATTAAATCAAAACATTATATTTATCCATAAAAATAATTAAATAATTAATTATTTTTAATAAATTTTTTAAAGTTGAGCACTATCTTGTTGACTCCTGAAGAGCATATTTTAGCTGAAGGAATTGCTTTCAAAGCACCGATGCTTGGTGGTTTTGTTGATCCAATTTTGTCGGACGACAATCCTCTTAGTTATCACAAAAATTACAGTCTTGTGCAAGATTCCGAGTTTGATCGGTCACACGTCGATCAAGTTTTTCCGAGAGGTGACGAATCTGAATTATTTGTTGATGATCAAGATGATATTTCGGAATATTTAAGTGAAAAAGATTGGTACTCTGAAAAACCTCTAACTCCAAGATATCCAACACAATTTACCGGTTTTTAATATTGAATGATTCAATTAACATGAATTTGATTTTTAACTCTCTATCTTCTTTTAAATTGTTATTTACCACCATTTGTACTTTATTTATTTTTAATTATTAAAAATGTTATTGGTGTATTAAAAACTTTTAGGAAAATGTATCGTGAGTGATAACCATGTAACAACATTTGATGGTTTGCCGCTTATGATTCCAATTAGTCCATCCGGTTCTTGCAGACTTTTACTAGCTAAAGATTGTAGTTCAGAAAATACATTTGCTATTATTGGCTCTCAGAACAATGGTTACACATTATTTTATTTTATTTTTTTTATTTGGTATTAATGTTAGAAAATTACAATTTGTTTACAGTTAAAAGTTACAGTTTACGCAATTAATGTTCAAAAGTGAAATAAACAATTAATTCACAATTAGTTTACAGTTAAAAATTTACAATGTTTAATATTGGGAGACCTCGTCAAATGCATATAAGACGTCGAACGCGATAGCTTGGTTTTCCGCATTTGGATGTTTAATTTTTTATTTTATAACTACCTACCCACAAGCAAAAATAGTATTTTTGATTTTATGTTTTTAACTTTTATAAAAGGTCAGTGGAGTGCAGAAGTTTACGCCCCTAATACATTAATTAAACTGGTGCCAGACAGATTGGGAAAAACCTACCAACCATTCGTTAACGGCCAGCAAATAAATTTTGATAGACAACGCACACATTCAATTGGTTACATGGATGAATTGCACACCTCACAATATCAAAGTTTACCGTAAGTTATAAAACAACAAAATAATTGTTTTAGTGGAATAAAAAACTATTTTGACCGCTATCAGAACCCATTGCCTTTTAATTAACATTATGGTTAACATAACATAAAATAAAAAGTTTTATAACATGGTAAAAAAAACAAGTTGCTTTCTTCAACAGAGGTCGTGATGGTGTCGTTTTAGCTAAAACCCGGAATGGTGGAATCAAATTGGTTCTTAAGCAGTTAGGCATGACCATAAAAGTTGAGTCTGGAGTAGTTTATATCAAAGTATGATTTTTTTGTATGTGAAATAATGTTAAAAATATTGATATAAGAATTTTGATATGTGGTTGATATATTCACAAATTATTTTTCCAGCTTTCGCCTTTCTCTTTCCTTCAAGGACGCTTGTGTGGACTGTGCGGCGATTTTAATAGTGATCCATCAAATGATTTATACAATTTAAGCAACGAGCCCGCTCCAAGCCACCACAGTTTTGTTTTAGACAAACTTATTCCAAGTAGTCAGTGCCCCATTGAAACATACAAAAACTTGATTTCAACCCGTTATTCTAGTAAGTTATAATTATTTATTATCTTATAATATTTAATACAAACCTACTGTATTTGTTAAGGTAGTTTACTTTAGCATGCGATAACTAAACATTTGTTACTCTTTTACGTCATGTTATAAAAGATGTGAATTGATAACATCTTGAAAGTTATTATAAATATTTAACAGCTATCACAGCAGAGTTTTGTTATAAACCTCTGTGTTGACGCTATGATTTGCTGTCATGTAGTTTTTTTGTTTTAAAAATTTTTTTTAAATTTGTATCAAAGAGAAAAACGAAATTCTGACAAATTAAAAAAAAACTAACCTTAAACGATCTATAAGAATTATTAATTATCATAATGATATTATGGTATTGCTTTGGCATGAACATCTCAATAAATCTTTAAAAAATTTCCAACAAAATCTTTCTTATTTTCACTTTCCACAGCAATCCTGGAAATTTTCGATATTAAACGAAATTAGTTATTTCTAAATTATGCACAAGAACGTAATTATAATAGGTTTCTTTATTAATTAATCACGAATATAGGGATTTTTATTAACAAAATTGCAACGTTATTAATTAATTACTGGTACAGTTAATTAAATAAAAAAAACTGCAGCCGGTTGTAAAAAGGATCGAACACTGAAGATCGACCGCTTTAACAATGCCGGGGTACCACAAACCTGCTTATCTGCTCAGCCTGTCTTGAAATGTGCCTCCGGATGTAAACCTGTTGGCATCGACATTAAACAAATTCAATTCAAATGTTTTGAACAATCCCTAAAACTTCCCATTTTTGAGAAATGGGACAGTTTGAGACCTCTTGATACTGAAGATTGGAGAACTGTTGAAGGAACAGAACCTGAAGTTATAACCGAAATGGTAGCAGTACCCAGAAGCTGCTCTTGTCCTCATATTTGAAGATAAAACCTAGTTTTAAAATAATTAAGTTTATTTACTAGAATTATTATTCGATGAGTTAGTTAAATGATATAAAAAACTTAATAAATTTTGAATAGTTTATTCAAATTTATTCTATATGTATAAATATATATTTGTCTAATTTATATTTGTCTATTCGTTTATTTATTCTGTAAAATATTTATCGAATTTATTTAATGGTTTCACCCTATTTATTGTGAAACAATATTTATTCAGTATTCTATGTTTTAATTTATTTCCATATAAATTTTATTATTTACAATTTATATATAAAATGCGATGTAATTTGGTAATAAATATAAGAGCTTGTTTACAGAAACAAAAATTCATAGTGACCCATTGGCTAATATGTGGTGTATATAATGATCTTGCGATGAGGCTTTTTAAACACATTGATTATCAACATTATTTGAATAAACACAAAATTCACAATATTTATTGTTCAATTACTATATTATTGATTCACTATTAACTTTCATGTATTTAACCATTTTAAAAATTCTAAACGTTACTAAATATCCCAGGCCGTGTTTTTTGGTTAAAATATGCATTAGTTATATTATTTTGTGAAAAATAAAAAATTTTAAGTTCAATTTTAGTATTTTTTATCAAGTTATGATTAACATCTTTTAAAAATAAGTCTCTCGTATACACTTTAAAAAATATACGTAATGTTTGCCATAGAAGTCAGTATGATAATCGATTTTGTGCCATTTGGAATGCGTAACTAAACCATCGTAATCGTCGAGGATCGATTTGCTCCTCAAATGATGACTGATTGTTGCACTGAACCCGAAATGTTTAATTTCGGAGATGATTTCTTATTCAGACTTAATGATGCGTCCATCACATTGCATTAAAAAAATCTATAGGTTTAACAATGCCCACGTTTCGAACTCATAAAGAATGATTGATTTCATGATTATAATTTGATTTGTAGTGTATTATGTGCAACGGTGTTAACCGAAACCTTGCATCAGTTGGTAACATTTCAGTCAATTTAGCTCTGTCACCGATGCATCGGTTTGTTGATTTTGTGAGACAGCATGAGCTGGGACGTGGTGGCTTGATAGTATATTTTCGCAAAGAGTTTAATTACGAAAAGATAACTCTATCATTATATATTATGTTCGAGGCTGTTGCTATCAGGTTAAGAATAAGTGGGAATATACTGATCTTGCTTGCCATATACTGGCCAGGCTTATCATTAATATCTGCCTCTCTTTATGCCAGTCTTAGAGTATGATACGAATGTAAATTCAAATATTTTATTGGTGGGTGATTTCAATAACCATATCAAAAGAACTGCCAATTTGAAATCCATTCGTTTATATACAATTGTTGCTATGTTTCATCTAATTAATCATGTCTGTAAACCAACTCATATCCTAGGTGGTACACTTGATGCGATCGTAGTTATTTAAAATTTGAAACGATGATTGCTCAAAAAAAGTCGTAAAATAACTAAAAGATCTGTTCAAAATCGTAAATGTTTTCCACCAACAAATTATTTTTACAATTGTTGCTAATTCTAATTCAATTTTTTTCCGGTGGCTGTTGCGTTTATCAAAATAAAGTATATTTCTAATTTTTAAAAAAGTTTTTTTTTGATAATTATATGTATTTTCTGTCTGTTTCAAACATGCAACGATCTGCCCAATTTTGATAAAACTGGATGCGATTTTAATAATCTTAAAAACCATAGACTTCTATATAGAAAACCTGGACTGTCCACTGAAATGAAAATTTTTCGAAAACGGACCCTCAGAGGCGATATAAATTAATGCATTATTCAGTGAAGTCGGTGATGTCATCCAGCCGGTTCGCATCGGTATTCGCGCGAACCGGATGTTAAAATTTTCCAAATTTTGCGAACCGGTTGTTAAAATTTTAAAAATATTTTTTTTTTGAAAAAAAATTAAATTTATTCATATATAAAAACTTTTTGAAGCTAAAAAGTTGTAATTCACATTTTATTTTTTTTTTACATTTTTTTTTTGAAACTCAAATTTAAATTTAATATAAATTTTGACCGTTAGTACACCTCATTTGGTGGGTTCAGGTGTGGATATCTCAAAAAAAAAATTATTTTTTTTAAAGTCGAAAACATTGAATTATAATATAATATAAAGAAGCGAGATATGGCTTTGACCTTCATTCTCAAGGCCACAAAATCGGCGGCAACATTAAAATTAAAATACGATCTCAATGACAGATCGGCGACCGTTATTAAATTAACATAACTGTAGAAAAAAAAGATTTTTTTCTAATCATATCTCATTTTTTTCTATAAATACTCCAAAATACTCACAAATAATTATTTTTTAAACAAGTTGCCGCGCGAGGAATCTTCCCAACCGTAAAAAAATTTCAATTTTAAAAAGCCGGTAGGGCGCTTCCAGTTATTTAATTCCATGGTAGAATATTCATTTTTTAAACATAAATCGTTGGAAAAATTTTAAATATTTTAAGCGCCCTTTTTTGTTTATTTCGGGAATTTTCTTTGATATATCGTTTTGTAATTTGAAAATTTAGGAAATTCGGTATTTTGAAATTCATTTACTGTAAATTTAATCATTTAAATTAAAAATTATTTAATATTTGATTATTAAAAAAGAAAAGGCAATTGAATATGTTAAATCTTTTTGGTAAACATAAGAAAACCAATACTGAAGAAAGCGAAATTGCTACAAATTTCGATAATGCAAATTCGCGAAAAATGACAACTTGTTCTACTAAAATTCAGTTACTGGCGGAAATCTGAAACCTCTAATCTTTTATGCGATGAAGAAAAAAATTATAGTTCCAAAATTGAAATTCTCTTGAAGTTTCCCAAAAATCTAATCAAGATACTGAAAAGTTGTTACACTTTTGGAATGAGAACCGACAAAATCTTTTTAAAGCTAAATATGAATGGCCTGAAATTGTTAACAATAAAAATGTGAAATGTCAATGGTGATCGTAAATTTTCATTTTAAAGTTAGAAAGTGCTAAACATTTACATGTCTCAGTAGAATGGAAGTCCGGCGTTGCAAAAGCTTCCGGTTCAAATAAAAATTTTTTATAAGCATCAATGAGAGAAAAATATAACGAACACAATGAATTAATTTCTCATAAAAAAAGTTGGTGAAATTTTAAAAGCTGCTGAAGAAGTGTAGACTTGGCTAATGGGAATTATTTAATGAGTCTTTCAATACTATTTATTTCATTATCAAAAATAATAAACCATTCAGTGATTTCGAAAAATTAATTAGTTCACAGCAAAAAATGAAGTAGATTTGAGATTCTCGTTGCATTCTAGGCAAATGGTTCCAGTGGTCGCAAAGCATATACCTTCTGAAATACGAGAAACTATATTTGGAAAATTAATCAAAGCAAAATGTAAAATTTCAATTATCGTTAATGAGGCTTCAACTATTACACAAAAGTGTTTTAGTAATTTATTTAAAATCAGAAATTCCAGACTGCGATGATACTGCAACAATTTTTGTTCATGTGGAACTGAAAGGAACAACATCAGAAATAATTTTTAATACTTTAATGGCAGTTTAAAAAAACACGGTTTCGAAGAAAAATATTTAATACTAATACAGACATGACTTTGCATAGATATTATCCAATAAATGCTTTAAAATGATGTAGATTTGTGCATGTCAGATGTAGATGGGTGAAAGCCAACTCTCGACAAGATTTTGCCCCAACACAGAATTTATTGCATTTCCACTGGCGATTTCATCATGGATATATGTAATATGGATATGGCAGACGCGTTATATATATATATATACATTGTTCATATATATATAATTTGATACGAGAGGTTTTCAGAAAGACATGTTCGATTAAAAATAAAACCCCCAATTTGTAGTTATTTAAATAAGACTTCAACAAGGCGTAATTTATCAGATTCATATTTATTTCAGTCCGTGATTTGGCTGACGGCAGTTTCGGCTGATAAATGTGGCCTAAAAAAAAAGGCCGGCATGTGTGATAACATTTGAAAAATCAACATATTATAAACAATTAAAATAAAGTAATTAAACTTTTAAACTTTTAACAAAATAGTTAGTTACGGATAATATATATATATATATATATATATATATATATATATATATATATATATATAAAACATCAAGGTCAATCCACATAACTAGACTAGAATAAATATAACGGCCTTTGCTGATTTTTAACGGTCGAACAAGGAGCTAAATTCCGGAAGGGATTTGGAGGGTGATTTTTAATCGTTCGAGTAAAAGTTACGATCGTATGTTTACTAATTTCGGAATATTGCCTTTATTTAAAATGTTAAAATTTTATTTGTTTTTTTTTATTTTTAAAATTGTTATTCAATTTGTTAATTAATTCGTAATAACTAAAATTAATAACTTTTATTTGGTATAAATTTTAAAAAATAAAATCGGCATTACCGAAAATAATAAAATTTGAAAAATTGAGGTTCTCTGCATATCTCTGCCTCAACCCATAAGAAAGTGTTGTATATTGGTCTCCCCTTGGGTCAATATGCTACATAGAATCACTATATTTGTTGAAAAGTGAATTTAAGTTAAAGTAAACAATCAGTTTTTAACCGGTTGTTTAGCGATTATCGTCCTAGTTGCTTTTTTTGTCAATTTATTGACATTCAATTCGAAAATTTTCTAAAGTTTAACAATAAAATACGATACTAAGACGTTTGATCATTTGATCGTTAAAAATCAAAAAATGTCAATTACTACAAAAAAAGGTTTAATGTTTACGCGTTTATTTACATAAAGAACTAAGAAAAGTTATTAGGCAGGTAATAATTATTATGCCATATCCATTTTATATCCATGGATATCATTATATGAATCAGCAGATTCAAATGTTCATCGTAAAAAAATCTAAGTCAAGGGGTTGAAATGAAAGTTAAACGTGTAAAGCCGGGGGTGGTGCCTTCACTATTTCCAAATACACCAAAATATTTATCCATATCA